GTTACATAATGAGCTCAAGGCCAGCCTGAACAGCATAGCACGTCTCTGTCTCAACAAAAGAATCCCTGAAAATCATATTCAGTAAAAGAGTGAAGAATAGTTCACTCTCCATTCCTGAAGAGGAATGTCAAATAGGGCAAAGTGGTCTGGACTTTGGGTTCTGAATCTATTATGAAGACAAGATGCATTCAGGAAACTGTAATCAATTTTTATCCTTACCTCAATCAGCCAGAAAATTATCATCCAAAATACTACGACTCCTCCCATCACAGATAACGGCAAGATCAGTTTGTGGTAGTTAGGTGTTAGAAATTTTGGGAGCTTAAAAAAAAGAATAATTTTAGTTAAGTAACAAAGAGGTAGGAAGGACGAAAGCTGACTATTCAAATCCAAATTTGCCCTGTGAGCAGCTTACGGGATCATGAAAACACACTAAATGGGATGTGTTACAAATCCTATTGTACTGCACATCCTTCCTCAATATGATTATCTTGTGTGTCGGGTCATCTTCCTTCTCTCAGGGAAGTGTGGGGGATCACAGTCCTGGACAAAGTTATGTGGCCGAGGCAAAATGTAGACTAGGAGGCCCGGGTCATCCTGCTGGGGCACTTCATGGAGACCCAGTGTTGGGTAGTTGTCCTCACCTCTCTTGACTCCTGCTGCTTCTCTTCACCTTTCCCTTCACCCTTCTCTGCTGTGCTCTTATTGGTATAGTTCTCACTTTCCCCGGGCTCTGCATCCCACTGGGCCTTGGACACACTGACTTTTTGCTGCTCACTGAGCCGCTTTATCAGGAGCCCTGTCATGGAGATGAGCTTGGCACACGCCTCTTGCACGTGGGTCTCAGAGCAGTCCGTTCTTAAACTCCTGATGACATGAGCAACCAGACTTCTCAAGTCACTGTTGGGGATGAGGGGCCAGAGTTGCTGGTTTAGGTCAGTTTCAAGCTGATCACCTGGGGATGACAGTGACAGGGAGGTGAAGTCGTTGGGGGGTGAGTCGGTGCCTGTGTTGGGGTGCTCCCATTCTGCCTCCCGGGTTGGGTTCACAGCTGACATTAGGTTGAATGCAGTCACAGCAGGGCCTGCAGCGGAAGGATTCTTATCAATTGTGTTTTCAGAGAGAGTTTTTTCAGGCACACGAGTGTTTACTGCCAATTCTGCTCCTTGAAAATCATCTCCTTTCATGGGGTTTTCTATAGGATTTCGTGCTAATGAAGGTTCTGAAGGAGCATATAATTCAGCGACAAGATTCTCCTGAAAACTCAGGTCTCCTGAAGATGAGAGGAACCGTTCTGAAGGGGAACCAACAAACCTCGTCACTGGTGGGAATGGAGGCCTCTTTGCACGCAAGTGTCTCCTGTGTGTGTATTCCTGTCTCAGCTTTTCACTCTGCTTGGCCTCGTGTGGTCTGTGGGCCATGAGAGAGTGTGTAGTGAGAAAGCGGTGAACTTTTCCAGAATGGAAGATTCTCTTAGTGTCCACCATGGTTTTAACTCTGGCATTTGCATGTTCTAAAACCAAAATGCTGGCTTCAGAAGAAGAAAGAGCATTTCTCTTGTTTACCTGAAGGACCTTCTTCACTCTCTGAAGCCTTTTCCTTCCGTGCCGAACTGCGGCCAGGCTGCTTCCCGGTGCTTCAGCGCTTTCCAACT